TCACAGCAGCCATGTCTGAGTTCATTTCTTTCTGCAAAAATTCAATCCTCAATTCCCAGTCCAAGTTCCCAGGTTTGGTGTAGAAACATCAACATTTCTGTGAGGACACTGCCAGTAGAAGAACCAGGTTTCTGGAATGTTCTGCAGCAGGAGAAATAGTTGGGAAGTGACTTCAAGCATAAGGAAATCAGGGAAATGTGGGGATTAAAAATCCATCCAGTCAGCTGTGAGTCTCCACCAGAAATCCTGTTTAGAAAGCATCATGCCTGCCAGTAACTGTCTGGCAAACAGAATCCAATGCATTCATAAGATTTGATGTTGTTCAAGACTAAAAAAAAAGAGGAAATTGTGTCATTGCAGCCTTTTGGGTTATTTCTGGTGTAAAATGATGCTGCAAATGATGACCAAACCAGCTGTGAGCCCAACAAATAAAGGCTGAGCACACCCTCCCAGCCTGAGTCACAGCAGCCATGTCTGAATTCATTTCTTTCTGCAAAAATTCAATCCTCAATTCCCAGTCCAAGTTCCCAGGTTTGGTGTAGAAACATCAACATTTCTGTGAGGACACTGCCAGTAGAAGATCCAGTTTTCAGGAATGTTCTGCAGCAGGAGAAACGGTTGGGAAGTGACTTTAAGAATAAGGAAATCAGGGAAATGTGGGGATTAAAAATCCATCCAGTCAGCTGTGAGTCTCCATCAGAGTCCCTAAATCCTGTTCAGAAAGCATCATGCCTGTCTGGCAAACAGAATCCAATGCATTCATAAGATCTGATGTTGTTCAAGACCTAAAAAAAGAGGAAATTGTGTCATTGCAGCCTTTTGGGTTATTTTGGTGTCAAATGATGCTCCAAATGCTGACCAAACCAGCTGTGAGCCCAACAAATAAAGGCTGAGCACAGCACACCCTCCCAGCCTGAGTCACAGCAGCCATGTCTGAATTCATTTCTTTCTGCAAAAATTCAATCCTCAATTCCCAGGTTTGGTGTAGAAACATCAACATTTCTGTGAGGACACTGCCAGTAGAAGA